CAGTATTATTTATAGCATTTCTTTTCGTTTTTTAAAGTGATGGGTAACAAAAATTGGAATTGCTGAAGATTCAAATGGTACTTTATACCCTTTGGAATCGGTAATTAAGATCGAAATTTCTTTTGGAGACCATATTTCAATGGGATAATATTCAATATTGTTGAATTGTATAAGTTGCTTTTTTCCATTATAATGTAATACTCGAAGACATCGAGGTCTTTTATTTCCAGCACATCTCGGTTCGATAATATCAGTGTAAACAAAAATCAACCCATTTTGAAACTGTTCAGACTCTATTGACTCATTTTCATATCGAAATGTTTCTCCATTTACTAAGCTAATAACGAATTCTGTTGTTTCTTCAGATACGATTGAGGTATTCTCAGGCCTGCTTTTTATACATTTATTTAGATATAAGTCTGTAATTCCTACTTTCCAGTCATCGTTCAAGTTTTCAGGAATATTTACAATGTTTGTAAATGCACACTTAACGTTATCATGATATACATTTAACGAATCATTACTAAGTAATGTCACGAAAAACTCTGTTACATTTACCATTTTTATACCCGATACTCAAAATGAGTATTGGGGTATATTAGATTTGTGGTAAAAGTGGATGTGTGTAACGTCCAGAAGGAATCGTTTCCGACCCCATAAAGTATATATATTCTTGATCAGCATCAATAGCCGAGTCGATTGAGCCATGTCTGTCTGTCCGTCCGTCCGTCTGTCCGTCTGTCCGTCCCCTTCAGCGCCTAGTGCTCAAAGACTATAAGAGCTAGAGCAACGATGTTTTGGATCCAGACTTCTGTGATATGTCACTGCTACAAGAATATTTCAAAACTTTGCCCCGCCCACTTCCGCCCCCACAAAGGGCGAAAATCTGTGGCATCCACAATTTCGACGATACGAGAAAACTAAAAACTCAGAATCGTAGAAGATGACTATATCTTACAGAGTGCAAAATCTGAACCAGATCGTATAATTATTATAGCCAGGATCACGAAAACAATTTCACTCTTTCTCGCTCTGTCTCACTCTAACACACAGGTTTCATGGTCGGTTTTGCCAATTGCAAAATATGAGTTCAAGGATCTCAGAACCCATAAGAGCTAGAGCAACCAAATTTGGTATCCACACTCCTGTGATATCGGACCTTGACCGTTTTGTGTCAAAATTTCGCCGCACCCCCTTCCGCCCCCGCAAAGGACGAAAATCTGGGGCAACCACAAATCTCAGAGACTATTAAGGCTAGAGTAACCAAATTTGGTATCCGCACTTCTGTTAGATCTCACTATAAAACGTATATCTCAGAATTTCGCCCCACCCCCTTCCGCCCCCACAAAGGACGAGAATCTGTTGCATCCACAATATTGCAGATTCGAGAAAACTAAAAACGCAGAATCATAGAGAATGACTATATCTATCCGGTTGCTGAATTTGGATTAGATCTAGTGTTGGGTAAACATTGCTCATTTTGGTGAACATGTTCACTTGTTCTTTTTTAGTAAGTGAGTCAACTCACTCATATTGCTCACTTGCTCACTTGCTCTCTTAGATTGCTCAGTTACTCACTTGTTCACTTGCTCAGTTGTTCACTTGCTCAGTTGTTCACTTGCTCAGTTACTCACTTGTTCACTTGCTCAGTTGTTCACTTGCTCAGTTGCTGACTTGCTCAGTTATTCACTATTCATGCACAGAACCCTAAGCACCACAGACTTTTACACAAATAAAAAACGTACATTTCAATATTAATCAAAGATTTATAACTAAAAACAAAAAAAAAATGTATATAACAAAAAAACAAACTTTTTATTTCCTTTCATAGGAATTCTTATACTAACATAAAAATAAGGAGATCCTTTCATAGGAATTCTTATACTAACTTAAAAATAAGGAGATCCTTTCATAGGAATTCTTATACCAACTTAAAAAAAAGGAGATCCTTTCAAACTTTCAAACTTTTCGTTTTCTTCATTTTAGCGCTATAAGAGAAAAAAATGTTAATCAAGCAAACAAGCAATCAAGTACAAATTAGGTTGTACTCACTTCCGATTTACATGTTGTTATGCAAAAAAATTAAATTTTCAACGGTTGTTGACTTTAAAAGGGATCGCCTTTTACGTATGGTTTCGCCTGCACTTGAAAATATGCGCTCGCATGGCACTGAGGTGGCGACTAAGCAGAGGCGCTTCAGCATATAGGTATAAAGTAGCGGGTATTGCGCTTTCCGCTGATTCCACCATACCAATGGATCATCTTTTCGGCTGATGTACTCCTCAGCCAGGTACTTATCCATTTCTCTTATGGATGCTGCCGTATTGTTGGTGGGTTGGCTTACTTGCTGAAAAGTGGTGTCAAACTCAGCCCATATTGTGTCCTCTTCTTGTTTTTTGTTGCTTATAGCTTCTTGTGGAGGTTCAGGGAGTGACTGTATCGTTTGAGCCAATTTTTTGTTGATATCCGCTACTGATTTTTTAAAGGCCTCCGCAGATTTAAATGCGCGTCCTTTGAACCTGGGATCCAGAACAGTGCTCTCCGCATACAAAATATTATCCTCGAAATCGTTAAACCTGCCGTCCATCTCGTTTATGATTTCATTGATTACTTCGGCAACTAGGTTATTTTTAACTGTTGGATATATTTGAGCCATTTTTCTTTGAAGTAATCCAGTCAAAGCAATTATTTTTGATAATGTTACGTTTTTTTCAGCTGAGATCTCTTCTGTAACTTCATAAAATGGCTTTAATACGGGAAGCACTCCATCAATGACATCCCAGTCTTCTGGTGACAAAATTAAATCTGTCCTTGTTGACAGAGCTGCCACGACTGCCTCCTTCAGGATAGACAGCCGTTCAAACATTTTGTACGTTGAGTTCCAACGTGTTGGCACATCCTGTGTTAGTTTGAGGTCAGCCAACTTAAGCAGCGCTTGCATATCTTTAAGCTTTTTTAAGCCTGATGAGCTGCGATGAAAATATTCGCTTATAGCTTTAGCTTTTCTGCGCACACTGCTCATTTTATCTAGAGCTTTTTGGACAATTAGATTTAGGGTATGAGCAAAACACCGTATATGACTCCAATTGCCGGTTCTAATAGCAAGAGCAATGTTGTGTGCATTATCGGATGCTATTGCTGCGACTTTGTTTTTGAGATCCCATTCATTCACAATTTTTTCCAAAAAGCTGCACAGATTCGCAGCAGTGTGCGACGCTTCAAAGGCCTGACAAGCAATTGTATAGGAGGTCAGCATCGTTGATTCCTCATCGATAAAATGCACTGTGACAGCCAGATAACTTTCGTTGGTTATAGATGTCCAACCGTCTGTAGTTAAGCACACCGCTGTGGCCGCACGTAGTTCTTCTACTATCTTCCCAGTGTACTCGTCACGAATTTTGGGAATCAAGGAGCTGGTTAATGTTTTCCTCGTCGGAAGCTTATAGTTTGGGGCGTGCGACACATCGTGAATCAATTTTTTAAATTCTGGTTCTTCGACCAAGCGCAAGGCGTGATGACCCTTGGCGATCATCCGTACAAGTTGCAGATCAATCTGCTGCGCTTTGCTCGCTGGTACAGGCCTTTCAGCAAAGCTTGTTATTTTTGGTTGCGCACTTTGCACAAAAATCGGGCCATCGGTGTTTTGCCGGATAACGGGCTCCATAGACGCCGGGTGCTTGCTCTTTAAATGGCGGCTTAAGTTGCTTTGAGATTTGCAACTCAAAATAGATTTGCAATACTTGCACTTGGCTTCCAGGCGTCCAACTTCCTCGAAATGGTTCCAAATCTCACTATACTTCCGAATTAGCGACATAGTGAATTTTTCAAAATTGTAAACAGCTTTGCCCGTAATATAAAAAGTGTGAAGTAAACGCAAATATGAGCAAAGCTACCAGATCGCAAAATGCCCTTTGAGGAGCAAAATTGCGCAAAAAGTGAGTAGAGAACAAGTGAGTAAAAATGAACAAGTGAGTAAAAATGAACAAGTGAACAACAAAGAGCAAGTGAACAACAAAGAACAAGTGAACAAAAAAGAACAAGTGAACAACAAAGAACAAGTGAACAAAAAAGAACAAGTGAACAACAAAGAACAAGTGAACAAAAAAGAACAACTTGGAAGGAACATGTTCAGTTGCTCACTTAAGTGAACAACTCTTTTTTGTTCACTCACTCATGAGCAACACAACACTAATTAGATCACATAATTTTTGTAGCCAAAAGGAACAAATCAATTTGCATTGGCTACGCAGCGCCCGACGTCACGCTCAGACTGATCTTCTGTCTCTCTCGCACGCATTCTTTGTCGTGTCGTTTAATATTAGCGGCGTCTGCCGGAGGAGAGCCATACTGATTTAGTATCGGGTATAACTGTAGAGTTGCGGTGTCCGCAGCAACTCACAACGTTCCCCCTCGTTACTTTTCGGTACAAGAACTTCCCTTGCAACGGCAGCGAAATGTATTCCGCCGAAATTACGCTTATTAGGTTTTGAGTTGAAAGATTTTTCGGTCAGAAAAGCTTCATCATCGATGTCGTTAGGTAAATCAGAGAACTCATTTTTGATAGAAAGTTCCTTTTTTGAGGACCCAAACTGACTCGTTTTGTGTTTGTATTCCAATGCTTTGAGGTGGTGAAAGTGGTTTGTTCTGCGTAGTTCGTATATCCATTGTCTTATTTCTTTTTTTATTTTGATAGTAACACAAATCTTGACGTATTTTAATCCATTTATTAAAGTCACTAGTTTTTTTTATCATTTAAAATAGAAAAAAACGTTATATTTATTAAATCGTTTTTCTGGGCATTATTTACCAATTTTTGATATGCATTTGTATGCATTAAAATAACTTTGTTTAATTGATGCTTATTTTTAAGCATTGTTCAATATTTTTCCAAAAATCCCCGAAAGCAATGAACTTATTTAAACAGGTAAAAATCCTCCTTTTTGGATGAGAACTTTTCTCTTAGAATTTATTGACCGTTTTGGACATGAAATAAGACGTAGACAACATATCCTTTCTCCTTTCTTTCCGGTCTCCGCTACAAAGAAGACGCAAACATGTTCATGCCAAAGGCCCATCGTGTCGCGTCAAGGAGCAGTTTGCTTGGAGACACTACTACTGGTATTTGAGGAGCTCCGCAACTACCTGCACTTGCCCCAGAGATCGTGCCCTCGACCCTGAAGCGCCCTGCTCGCTCTGAAACTGTGCGCCCACGCCCAGCTGCTGGCGGCCCACGCGGTACTGGTGATGCCTCCAAGACTGGCGAGGATCGCTCGGCTTACAGACGCGCCCCCGGCGGCAGCGGTGTGGACAAGAAGGGAGACGTTGGACCCGGCGCTGGAGAGGTTGAGTTCCGTGGCGGATTCGGTCGTGGCTCGCGCAACTAAATACGCGGCGCCCTTCTTTTTTTATGTATCCATTAAACAAATGAGGATGTTTAGAGGTTTTCATCAGTCCGCAACAACATATAGTTGCTTTTTTGATATCTTATGATTTCCTCGTAGAGTATTCAACACTATCTCCACTAATGCTTTTACTAACTCAATGTCACAATTACTTATAATTGCATTTCGAAGCTTATTATTTGCCCTTTTCAGTCGATTTAGATTCTTTTTGTAAACCATTTTCATCTGAAAAGCAAACTGTATACTCAGAATTAAAAATATGTGTACGAAATCTAAGGAGATCATTTATTCCCTGAGTAAGATCAATAAGTAAATAACCATGTGGTTTATCTGTCACCTCCTTATATATTCTGAAGAGCTCCTGAGAATTTTCAGGATAAATTTGTCTTGCTAAGCATTGAAATTGAAGCTTATCTCTAAGATTTTTGAACGCAACGATCTATTTTTTGTTTAGTGAAATATCTCGAGTACGTGATGATTTATGAAATATATTTTGTGTGACTACTATTACGGATAAATTCCTGTGGTGTGATCCTTTTGTAAATAGCTCACAGACATTTTTATTAAATGCACCCATCATTAAGTCATCTAGTATTAAAAGAATAGGCTCATGATTTTCATTTTTAATTGTTTCGGGAACTCCTTTATAGTATTCGATGGTATTAAAATTTGGCTTAGCATGCTCCTCTCCATAACACCAAATTATTCGATTAATTGAAATGCTCAGCAAATCATTCCTTTTGTTTATTAAATTTTCTAAAAACGTTGTCTTACCAGATCCTGAAGGTCTGCAAATAAGCATTCTAAAAGGATGTATAAATTGCTTAAACATTTTTGGTTATGTTTTATTTATTAATATTTTATAAATGTTTTCTAACATCTAAGATGTTCTAATTACGCGTCTACTGATCGCGCTTTTTGGGACAATTTTTTTTCTAAGTGAGTATCAGATCCGCAATAATTACAATAAGCAACTTGTGTGTATCCGCTTTTGTGAGGATTCTTTTCAAGCAAACGCTTAAATGAATCCATTTTAAACAACTAGTTACTACAAGTGCTGAATATAAACTGAAAATCTAAACATATGAGTCACCATTACAGTAGATAGCGTAGTTAGAATTTTCCAAGATAACAAATAGCTTAAATAAATTATTTAGAGCACATCTGAGAGGAATTTTTTTGTGGATTCTACAGTTTGTAAACAAATTTGGATAAAATGTGAGACTTTTTCCTATATCGATATCAATCATATTATTTGTTAAATACTTAGATAACAACTTTTTTTTAATTTCACCACTTACAAATAACGGTGCTAAATCTATTTAGTGGTGAAAGTATTTCATGCCTATCTCCTTTATATACAGCCCAATTCAGTAAGAGTTCTTAGTTTAACAAAAGCATTCAACCCAAATGGACACGCTTCAATCAAAAAGAATTAGGTCCACTAGAAAGAAGCAGGATCACGAAGTCATTTTCGGTCTCGAATATTATGTAGTACATAATTTAAAACTTAAATGCGGTTTTTCAACTACAAGAAAATTCACTCCAACGATATGGATGCAGCAAAGCAAAAACAATTTCATCGGTTTAGATAAAGATGAATGGATGCAATTGGTTACATACAAGGAGTATATCCAATTGAAACTTGATCAGTATGATTTTTTGATGCCTGATACAATTATAGACCATCCATTATTGCCCACAATTAAGTGTAATTTTAGATTTCGAAAATCAGATAAGCAGTATGTGTTTATAATAAAGCAGTTTAGAAATAAAATTAAATTTGATAGTGAGTCCTGAAGATCGTTTTTAAGATTTTTTTTACCACATTTTTATGTTGGAATACGATACATTAGCAACAAATTATATACCTCTACTATAATAATATTATTCCTAAGTGTGCAGCCTTACAATAATTTGATGTTCAACTAGCTGATTTAGACGGTACTTATGATAGAAATGTGCAAATAGATTTAACCCGTTTATGCTTTGAAATTTCCAAAAAAAAATGTGTAATCAAATAAGCAATCATCCCAACATAACAATAGAAAATTAAAATTATATTAAAAATGAGTAAGCAACAAGTTGTTAATGAAATACATAAGCCTGCTAGAAGAAATTTTATTCGTCGTAAATTCGTACAAAAGGGAATTAATGACACGTGGCAAATCGATTTAGTTGAAATGATACCCTTTTATAAGGAAAAAAAAAGAAAAAAGGCACTTGCTGACAGTAATTGACACGTTCTCGAAGTATGCATATGCAGTTCCCGTTAAGTCTACAACAGCTATAGATATTTTATAAGCATTGAAGAAAATATTAAAAATATCTAAACATATACCTAAAAATATTCAATCTGATCAAGGAAAGGAGTTTTTTAATGTAGCCTTCGGAGAGTTAATGAAAAAGAATAACATTAACCATTACCATACATATATACACCTTAAGGTATCTATTTGTGAACGTTTTAATAGAACATTAAAAAATCGTATGTGGAAAATCTTTAGTATGCAGGGTAATCATACGTGGATTTATACCTTGCATGACTTACTAAAAGATTATAATAATTCATATCACCGTACTATAAAAATGAAGAGTTTATTTTGAAAACAGCTTATAATATTTGTAAGGTATTTCCTAAACACAAGTTTTCCATTGGTGATCCTGTTAGAATAAGTAAATATAAAGGTATTTTTACAAAGGGCTATGATCCAAACTGGACAACCGAAGTTTTTAAAAGTTTAAAAGTAAAGTCTACTAATCCTGTAGCATATGAACTGGAGGACAATAAGGGGGAAATGATCAAAGGCTCATTTTATGATCAAGAACTCCAAAAAGTTAAAGATGAAAATGCTTTCTTAGTGGAAAAAATACTCAGAAGGAAAAAATAACAAGTTTTTGTTAAATGGTTAGGTTTCGATGAAACACACAATTCATGGATAGATAAAAACAGTATATTATTTATCAGATTTAATTTATTTTTGTGTATTATTTACATTGAAATATAGTTTTAATTATACACAAATTAAAACGAAGGGGAACGTTGTGAGTTGCTGCGGACACCGCAACTCTACAGTTATACCCGATAATAAGTCAGTATGGCTCTCCTCCGGCAGACGCCGCTAATATTAAACGACACGACAAAGAATGCGTGCGAGAGAGACAGAAGATCAGTCTGAGCGTGACGTCGGGCGCTGCGTAGCCAATGCAAATTGATTTGTTCCTTTTGGCTACAAAAATTATCTGATCTGATCCAGACTCAGCAATCTGATAGATATTGTCAATCTCTATGATTCTGCGTTTTTAGTTTTCTCGAATCTGCAATATTGTGGATGCAACAGATTCTCGTCCTTTGTGGGGGCGGAAGGGGGTGGGGCGAAATTCTGAGATATACGTTTTATAGTGAGGTCTAACAGGAGTGCGGATACTAAATTTGGTTACTCTAGCCTTAATAGTCCCTGAGATTTGTGAATATCCCCAGATTTGCATATGGTCATTCTCTACGACAAAAACGCAGAATCGTAGAGAATGGCCATATCTTTTAGACTGCAGAATCTGAACTGGATCGTATTATTATTATAGCCAGCATCAAGAAAACAATTTCATTTTTTCTCTCTAACACACACGTAGCATAGGCGGCTTTGCTTAGAGTAAATCATTAGCGCCTAGATCTCAGAGACTATAAAAGCTAGAGCAACCAAATTTGGTATCCACACTCCTAATATATCGGACCGAGACGAGTTTGTTTCAAAACAAACGGGGAACGTTGTGAGTTGCTGCGGACACCGCAACTCCACAGTTATACCCGATACTAAGTCAGTATGGCTCTCCTCCGGCAGACGCCGCTAATATTAAACGACACGACAAAGAGTGCGTGCGAGAGAGACAGAAAATCAGTCTGAGCGTGACGTCGGGCGCTGCGTAGCCACTGCAAATTGATTTGTTTCCTTTGGCTATAAAAATGATCTGATCTGATCCAGATTCAGCAATCTGATAGATATGGTCATTATCTATGATTCTGCGTTTTTAGTTTTCTCAAATCTGCAATATTGTGGATGCCACAGATTTTCGCCCTTTGTGGGGGCGGAAGTGGGCGGGGCAAAGTTTTGAAATATTTTTGTAGCAGTGACATATCACAGAAGCCTGGATCCAAAACATCGTTGCTCTAGCTCTTATAGTCTTTGAGCATTAGGCGCTGAAGGGGACGAACAGACGGACAGACGGACGGACGGACAGACGGACGGACGGACAGACGGACAGACGGACATGGCTCAATCGACTCGGCTATTGATGCTGATCAAGAATATATATACTTTATGGGGTCGGAAACGATTCCTTCTGAACGTTACACACATCCACTTTTACCACAAACCTAATATACCCCAATACTCATTTTGAGTATCGGGTATAATTACATTAACCATTTTGAAAAATGGACTGGACAAATGGCAATGGCAGCCAAATTATCTCCAAAGATTTCAACACTGTGGAAATTATGTCTTGCTATGCGTTGTCTAAACCCTGCTGAGTTTTGTCTTGAATCATAATGTTTAACCTCAAGATGTTTTTCTACATTCTCCATTGTTTTGCCGTAAACGGCATATTATGATATTATGAATATCATCAGGATATCGCATATCTACTTCTAAAATATATCCAACATCACTAGATGCAGAACGTTGAAAGATGAAATTTCATCGTTACTTAGAAATTTAAAATTAGAAAATGGAAGGGGTTGACTCATAGCCCATCCATATACATAAATTGTTGGCGTCAATATATGAAAGGAAATTTATGGGTTCGGTACGCTTAAATTTATTATTTAAATATTTGTTATTTGCTGTTGCAATCCGTTGAGTACATTGGGTCAACCCTCCACGAACAGCAGTTTTAAAAAAATTATAAATGTCAGGATCATTTCCAAGTTCTAATTCTACCCTTGTGTCTTTAAACATTGCATCCCATGAAACTGAAGGAGCAGTAACATAATTAATGGAGTCTAACCTGTACTCTCGGGAACAAAGGCTCCTAAAATTCTCAAATACATCAGCAAGAATTAAAACATCGCCTTCCAAATATAATTTTAAATAATCTCTAATAGATTTGCAATTAAATGCGCTCCAAACCTTCTGAGCAAAGTTGTAGTCTTCAACACTACATTCCTCATCATTTAGTGAATTATAAAAATTATCTCGCGAAGGAAGCAGGGATTCATCAAATTTTTCAAAACTATCCAAATAATCTTCCCTTTCGTCGTATCATGTACAATTTTTCACCTTGATATTTAGTTTTCAAAATTTTAAAATTCGCTATGTTCATATAACTAGCGAGTTTTTCTAAGCTTGAATTTAAAAATCTATTTGAATCTATATATCTAATTTTATATTGATGAATAACATAATTTTCTCATGCACGTTATATATGTATGCATAATGAATCATTTGCATATTATAACTATTAATTCCAAGCAAGTTTATGTGGTGAGTCCGAATTTGCTTAGTCCTCACTGTGGGTCCCACAACGTTTTTTCCATTCTCATCGACTTCATAAACATTGATGCTAAAATCCTCATTTGCTGATTCGAATCGCTTGATTCCGGAAAAATTTAATCTTACTCCTTCATAATAAATTATGTCTTGCCGTATATTTCTCGGTATTTAAATTAGACATTTTGCCACATTTTTAGAAAACCAGCAAACACAAGTATTTAATTGCGACCATTAGGCAAATCAAGGAGAGCAGAAAAATTAATGGAATTATATGAATATATGAATATAATAAAGATATAAGGAAATTAATATTAATACATAGAAAAATCAAAATCCGACAAAATGATCGAAGCAGCGTACGTCAGACCAGCGATCCGCAATGAAAATCTAAAACGAAATTAAATTAAAACTTTTTAACTGGTTTTGTTTTTTTTTCGTGTTGCTTAGTGTATTTTTCGGTAAGGTTTCAATGCATTAGAGAAATTCATGGAATGCGAGCAATGCAAGCTTAAAGCATAATTGGCAACTACGAGAACGAAAAGCTTCGAGTGTGTTTTTATCGCAATCGTTGCTCTCTCTTATCAGCAGCGGTTGGCCGCTGCGCATGCCTTTTAGAATTTTACGAATGCCGACGCAAAGCAGAAAAGGGAAATTGGGTCACTTACAGCTTCAGTACAGTGGTCCCTCGCTGAAAGGCGCCTTTCGTTGTGAAGCTGTGGAAACAGCTAAAAAAGGGGGGGATATTTGAAAGGTTTGGGGTATTTTTTTTTCTAATTTTTTTATTTTCAACCATCAAAATAAATTAAGTTTTAGGAACTTTCGCGCTCACGGCTATCGATGCAGCACTGCCTCGGAGTTAATGAAAGTAACATAGGAATAGCAGGGCTCAGAAGGAACCAAAAAAGAAGGAAAATGGAAGCTACACTATGCTACAAAATATTGGACCGGATCCGTAACGGCTTCTTCTAGTTAGTTAGCGGAGCACGAGGGGAGGGGGGGTGATCTCTATGCCCTCTATGCATCACACTACAAGGCGCATGGGGCCTGCGCGTAGGTTATGTATGGCCAATAACCATACAGAATATGCATAGATGTGCCAGTTCATACAACGAAAGCGTCACACACTGGCTAGCGCGTTCAGTACCCCAGAGTGACGTCATCATGAGAGAGAGAGAGCGCAGAGAGAACATCTTTGCATGTGTTAGTACACACGCAATATGTTTCGACAAAAATATGTGATTGTATGCTTTTTCAGATTTTTCAGTACTTGAACTCTCTCAGGTCTGGTTCTGTTTTGCCACCAGCATGTTTTAGTGTATGGGTGCACATGCATTCTCACGTACTTTGCGTGTGTGTGTTTACTATTGCTGGCCGCTAGAACTGAAATTTGAGTTTGATTCTTGTTTTGGGTCTTTTGATGGTCTGACCTACCGCCACAAAATAAATGAAGAATGGGCAGGGGGTTGGGGTATGGTACACTAGGGCGCGGGAAATAAAATAAAAGCTGTTATTTGTTTGATTTATACCACAACAGTATTATAATAATATAATTACACATTTATTTCCTTATTTCAAACAGGATTATTATAAATTATAAAAATTATGCAATTATGCAATTATGCAAATTATGCAAAATATAATTGCACATTTATTTCCTTATCTTAAGCAGGTTTATTATAAATTATAAAAATTATGAAAACGCAGTCGGTTCTCGACTTTTTTGTTTATTATAACTAAAACAATGATGTATCTAAATATACAATATAAGAAAATATAGATATATACTTAAATAAATATGCATAAATATAAATGGAATTGGTTTTACATATATTTCAAATCAATTGTCAATTGCGCGCTTTCCGACAGGAATCTGCAAAGCAAAAATTTAGATGCCGGTCGCACCTTGAATACTCTCATGGACAATACCCATACATTTTCTAATTCAATTATAAAGACAACATTAAGACAACAGTAATTTTACCCTCATGCAATATACGAATGTAATAATCTTTAATATTTATGTACATGCTATGCTATGACATGCATCGATAATTGGCACAAGGTTATTGCATGCGATATGCCCGAGCACCATAGCAATAACCTAACCTGGATCTGTACTGTCCAGCCGCAACCGTTACAATATGATAACGCACACAGACAACTATGAATTGCTGAGGAGAATAGAAATGCTTAAAGAGGGCGAGAATATTTTGACTATAGAAAAATTGCAAATTGTTAGGAACAAAATCATGGAAAACGTCAGTAAGGCATATCACACCAATAGTATAGTCTCTTACAATGATTTGCGCACAATGTATGTTACGTTCGAAAACGTCTTTAGGCGAATCTTTGCCCAAAGTAATAAGATCAATGTATTTAATGCAAAACTAGCTCCTAAATTCTTGAAGGCAACTGTAGTTCGAAAGTTTGGTAACCACTGTTATGAATTAGAAGAAGATGGTAAACTGATAGGAAAGTTCCATGCCAAAGACCTACAGAAATGCGTAACTTAAAGGATGAACGTTTTTCAGCTTATTTTGAGCAAGTAGAACAGCTTAAAAATAACCTGTGATGTGATGGCAAATATTTGGATTGACTTATTTTTGTGCACATTGCTGTAGCTTATCTGCAAGCATTGGAATAAATGGGAATAAAGAGAAAGCTTTTGACGGGAGAGCGAGCTTTGAGTTATCGTGGTGGGTTATCTAGGCCTTGTGCTTTAGAGCGTGCGGTTAGAATGGGATCAAGAGACAAAATCAAAGCTCAAGCGTTGGATCATTCGATCCATAGAACTGAATTGTGAAAGGGAAGTTTGGTGGAACGGCAAGATAAAAGAAAAGAAAAGGTTATACACGTGTTTAAAAAAAACGAGGGGGAACGTTGTGAGTTGCTGCGGAGACTGCAACTCTACATTTATACCCGATACTTAGTCAGTATGGCTCTTTTCCGGCAGACGCCGCTTATATTGAACGACACGACAAAGAGTGCGTGCGAGAGAGACAAAAAATCAGTCTGAGCGTGACGTCGGGCGCTGCGTAGCCCCTGCAAATTGATTTGTAGAGCAACGAAGTTTTGGATCCAGACTTCTGTGATAGACATATCACTGCTACAAAAATATTTCAAAACTTTGCCCCGGCCACTTCCGCCCCCACAAAGGGTGAAAAAAACAATTTCATTTTTTCTCGCCCTGTCTCTCTCTAACACACACGTAGCATAGGCGGCTTTGCTTAGAGTAAAACATTAGCGCCTAGATCTCAGAGACTATAAAAGCTAGAGAAAGCAAATTTGGTATCCACACTCCTAATATATCGGACCGAGACGAGTTTGTTTCAAAATTTCGCCACACCCCCTTCCGCCCCCGCAAAGGATGCAGATCTGGGGATATTCATAAATCTCAGAGACTATTAAGGCTAGAGTAACCAAATTTGGTGTCCGCACTTCTGTTAGATCTCACTATAAAACGTATATCTCAGAATTTCGCCCCACCCCCTTCCGCCCCCACAAAGGACGAGAATCTGTTGCATCCACAATATTGCAGATTCGAGAAAACTAAAAACGCAGAATCATAGAGAATGACTATATCTATCCGGATAGATAATCAGATAATTTTTGTAGCCAAAAGGAACAAATCAATTTGCATTGGCTACGCAGCGCCCGACGTCACGCTCAGACTGATCTTCTGTCTCTCTCGCACGCATTCTTTGTCGTGTCGTTTAATATTAGCGGCGTCTGCCGGAGGAGAGCCATACTGATTTAGTATCGGGTATAACTGTAGAGTTGCGGTGTCCGCAGCAACTCACAACGTTCCCCCTCGTTACTTTTCGGTACAAGAACTTCCCTTGCAACGGCAGCGAAATGTATTCCGCCGAAATTACGCTTATTAGGTTTTGAGTTGAAAGATTTTTCGGTCAGAAAAGCTTCATCATCGATGTCGTTAGGTAAATCAGAGAACTCATTTTTGATAGAAAGTTCCTTTTTTGAGGACCCAAACTGACTCGTTTTGTGTTTGTATTCCAATGCTTTGAGGTGGTGAAAGTGGTTTGTTCTGCGTAGTTCGTATATCCATTGTCTTATTTCTTTTTTTATTTTGATAGTAACACAAATCTTGACGTATTTTAATCCATTTATTAAAGTCACTAGTTTTTTTTATCATTTAAAATAGAAAAAAACGTTATATTTATTAAATCGTTTTTCTGGGCATTATTTACCAATTTTTGATATGCATTTGTATGCATTAAAATAACTTTGTTTAATTGATGCTTATTTTTAAGCATTGTTCAATATTTTTCAAAAAATCCCCGAAAGCAATGAACTTATTTAAACAGGTAAAAATCCTCCTTTTTGGATGAGAACTTTTCTCTTAGAATTTATTGACCGTTTTGGACATGAAATAAGACGTAGACAACATATCCTTTCTCCTTTCTTTCCGGTCTCCGCTACAAAGAAGACGCAAACATGTTCATGCCAAAGGCCCATCGTGTCGCGTCATTGTGGCGAAAAAGGATTTCCATGCACAGAAGCACCCCGAGTTTGAGTCAATTCCCAACCTTCATGTCATTAAGGCACTGCAGTCGCTGCATTCTCGCGGCCTTGTCAAGGAGCAGTTTGCTTGGAGACACTACTACTGGTATTTGACCAACGAGGGCATTGAGGAGCTCCGCAGCTACCTGCACTTGCCCCCAGAGATCGTGCCCTCGACCCTGAAGCGCCCTGCTCGCTCTGAAACTGTGCGCCCACGCCCAGCTGCTGGCGGCCCACGCGGTACTGGTGATGCCTCCAAGACTGGCGAGGATCGCTCGGCTTACAGACGCGCCCCCGGCGGCAGCGGTGTGGACAAGAAGGGAGACGTTGGACCCGGCGCTGGAGAGGTTGAGTTCCGTGGCGGATTCGGTCGTGGCTCGCGCAACTAAATACGCGGCGCCCTTCTTTTTTTATGTATCCATTAAACAAATGAGGATGTTTAGAGGTTTTCATCAGTCCGCAACAACATATAGTTGCTTTTTTGATATCTTATGATTTCCTCGTAGAGTATTCAACACTATCTCCACTAATGCTTTTACTAACTCAATGTCACAATTACTTATAATTGCATTTCGAAGCTTATTATTTGCCCTTTTCAGTCGATTTAGATTCTTTTTGTAAACCATTTTCATCTGAAAAGCAAACTGTATACTCAGAATTAAAAATATGTGTACGAAATCTAAGGAGATCATTTATTCCCTGAGTAAGATCAATAAGTAAATAACCATGTGGTTTATCTGTCACCTCCTTATATATTCTGAAGAGCTCCTGAGAATTTTCAGGATAAATTTGTCTTGCTAAGCATTGAAATTGAAGCTTATCTCTAAGATTTTTGAACGCAACGATCTATTTTTTGTTTAGTGAAATATCTCGAGTACGTGATGATTTATGAAATATATTTTGTGTGACTACTATTACGGATAAATTCCTGTGGGGTGATCCTTTTGTAAATAGCTCACAGACATTTTTATTAAATGCACCCATCATTAAGTCATCTAGTATTAAAAGAATAGGCTCATGATTTTCATTTTTAATTGTTTCGGGAACTCCTTTATAGTATTCGATGGTATTAAAATTTGGCTTAGCATGCTCCTCTCCATAACACCAAATTATTCGATTAATTGAAATGCTCAGCAAATCATTCCTTTTGTTTATTAAATTTTCTAAAAACGTTGTCTTACCAGATCCTGAAGGTCTGCAAATAAGCATTCTAAAAGGATGTATAAATTGCTTAAACATTTTTGGTTATGTTTTATTTATTAATATTTTATAAATGTTTTCTAACATCTAAGATGTTCTAATTACGCGTCTCCTGATCGCGCTTTTTGGGACAATTTTTTTTCTAAGTGAGTATCAGATCCGCAATAATTACAATAAGCAACTTGTGTGTATCCGCTTTTGTGAGGATTCTTTTCAAGCAAACGCTTAAATGAATCCATTTTAAACAACTAGTTACTACAAGTGCTGAATATAAACTGAAAATCTAAACATATGAGTCACCATTACAGTAGATAGCGTAGTTAGAATTTTCCAAGATAACAAATAGCTTAAATAAATTATTTAGAGCACATCTGAGAGGAATTTTTTTGTGGATTCTACAGTTTGTAAACAAATTTGGATAAAATGTGAGACTTTTTCCTATATCGATATCAATCATATTATTTGTTAAATACTTAGATAACAACTTTTTTTTAATTTCACCACTTACAAATAACGGTGCTAAATCTATTTAGTGGTGAAAGTATTTCATGCCTATCTCCTTTATATACAGCCCAATTCAGTAAGAGTTCTTAGTTTAACAAAAGCATTCAACCCAAATGGACACGCTTCAATCAAAAAGAATTAGGTCCACTAGAAAGAAGCAGGATCACGAAGTCATTTTCGGTCTCGAATATTATGTAGTACATAATTTAAAACTTAAATGCGGTTTTTCAACTACAAGAAAATTCACTCCAACGATATGGATGCAGCAAAGCAAAAACAATTTCATCGGTTTAGATAAAGATGAATGGATGCAATTGGTTACATACAAGGAGTATATCCAATTGAAACTTGATCAGTATGATTTTTTGATGCCTGATACAATTATAGACCATCCATTATTGCCCACAATTAAGTGTAATTTTAGATTTCGAAAATCAGATAAGCAGTATGTGTTTATAATAAAGCAGTTTAGAAATAAAATTAAATTTGATAGTGAGTCCTGAAGATCGTTTTTAAGATTTTTTTTACCACATTTTTATGTTGGAATACGATACATTAGCAACAAATTATATACCTCTACTATAATAATATTATTCCTAAGTGTGCAGCCTTACAATAATTTGATGTTCAACTAGCTGATTTAGACGGTACTTATGATAGAAATGTGCAAATAGATTTAACCCGCTTATGCTTTGAAATTTCCAAAAAAAAATGTGTAATCAAATAAGCAATCATCCCAACATAACAATAGAAAATTAAAATTATATTAAAAATGAGTAAGCAACAAGTTGTTAATGAAATACATAAGCCTGCTAGAAGAAATTTTATTCGTCGTAAATTCGTACAAAAGGGAATTAATGACACGTGGCAAATCGATTTAGTTGAAATGATACCCTTTTATAAGGAAAAAAAAAGAAAAAAGGCACTTGCTGACAGTAATTGACACGTTCTCGAAGTATGCATATGCAGTTCCCGTTAAGTCTACAACAGCTATAGATATTTTATAAGCATTGAAGAAAATATTAAAAATATCTAAACATATACCTAAAAATATTCAATCTGATCAAGGAAAGGAGTTTTTTAATGTAGCCTTCGGAGAGTTAATGAAAAAGAATAACATTAACCATTACCATACATATATACACCTTAAGGTATCTATTTGTGAACGTTTTAATAGAACATTAAAAAATCGTATGTGGAAAATCTTTAGTATGCAGGGTAATCATACGTGGATTTATACCTTGCATGACTTACTAAAAGATTATAATAATTCATATCACCGTACTATAAAAATGAAGAGTTTATTTTGAAAACAGCTTATAATATTTGTAAGGTATTTCCTAAACACAAGTTTTCCATTGGTGATCCTGTTAGAATAAGTAAATATAAAGGTATTTTTACAAAGGGCTATGATCCAAACTGGACAACCGAAGTTTTTAAAAGTTTAAAAGTAAAGTCTACTAATCCTGTAGCATATGAACTGGAGGACAATAAGGGGGAAATGATCAAAGGCTCATTTTATGATCAAGAACTCCAAAAAGTTAAAGATGAAAATGCTTTCTTAGTGGAAAAAATACTCAGAAGGAAAAAATAACAAGTTTTTGTTAAATGGTTAGGTTTCGATGAAACACACAATTCATGGATAGATAAAAACAGTATATTATTTATCAGATTTAATTTATTTTTGTGTATTATTTACATTGAAATATAGTTTTAATTATACACAAATTAAAACGAAGGGGAACGTTGTGAGTTGCTGCGGACACCGCAACTCTACAGTTATACCCGATAATAAGTCAGTATGGCTCTCCTCCGGCAGACGCCGCTAATATTAAACGACACGACAAAGAGTGCGTGCGAGAGAGACAGAAAATCAGTCTGAGCGTGACGTCGGGCGCTGCGTAGCCACTGCAAATTGATTTGTTCCTTTTGGCTATAAAAATGATCTGATCTGATCCAGACTCAGCAATCTGATAGATATTGTCAATCTCTATGATTCTGCGTTTTTAGTTTTCTCGAATCTGCAATATTGTGGATGCAACAGATTCTCGTCCTTTGTGGGGGCGGAAGGGGGTGGGGCGAAATTCTGAGATATACGTTTTATAGTGAGGTCTAACAGGAGTGCGGATACTAAATTTGGTTACTCTAGCCTTAATAGTCCCTGAGATTTGTGAATATCCCCAGATTTGCATCCTTGGTGGGGGCGGAAGGGGGTGTGGTGTGTCTAAAAGATATGGTCATTCTCTACGACAAAAACGCAGAATCGTAGAGAATGGCCATATCTTTTAGACTGCAGAATCTGAACTTATTATAGCCAGCATCAAGAAAACAATTTCATTTTTTCTCTCTAACACACACGTAGCATAGGCGGCTTTGCTTAGAGTAAATCATTAGCGCCTAGATCTCAGAGACTATAAAAGCTAGAGCAACCAAATTTGGTATCCACACTCCTAATATATCGGACCGAGACGAGTTTGTTTCAAAACAAACGGGGAACGTTGTGAGTTGCTGCGGACACCGCAACTCCACAGTTATACCCGATACTAAGTCAGTATGGCCACTAACCATACAGTATATATATACTGTATGGTTAGTGGTATGGCTCTCCTCCGGCAGACGCCGCTAATATTAAACGACACGACAAAGAGTGCGTGCGAGAGAGACAGAAAATCAGTCTGAGCGTGACGTCACGCGCTGCGTAGCCACTGCAAATTGATTTGTTTCCTTTGGCTATAAAAATGATCTGATCTGATCCAGATTCAGCAATCTGATAGATATGGTCATTATCTATGATTCTGCGTTTTTAGTTTTCTCAAATCTGCAATATTGTGGATGCCACAGATTTTCGCCCTTTGTGGGGGCGGAAGTGGGCGGGGCAAAGTTTTGAAATATTTTTGTAGCAGTGACATATCACAGAAGCCTGGATCCAAAACATCGTTGCTCTAGCTCTTATAGTCTTTGAGCATTAGGCGCTGAAGGGGACGAACAGACGGACAGACGGACGGACGGACAGACGGACAGACGGACATGGCTCAATCGACTCGGCTATTGATGCTGATCAAGAATATATATACTTTATGGGGTCGGAAACGATTCCTTCTGAACGTTACACACATCCACTTTTACCACAAACCTAATATACCCCAATACTCATTTTGAGTATCGGGTATAATTACATTAACCATTTTGAAAAATGGACTGGACAAATGGCAATGGCAGCCAAATTATCTCCAAAGATTTCAACACTGTGGAAATTATGTCTTGCTATGCGTTGTCTAAACCCTGCTGAGTTTTGTCTTGAATCATAATGTTTAACCTCAAGATGTTTTTCTACATTCTCCATTGTTTTGCCGTAAACGGCATATTATGATATTATGAATATCATCAGGATATCGCATATCTACTTCTAAAATATATCCAACATCACTAGATGCAGAACGTTGAAAGATGAAATTTCATCGTTACTTAGAAATTTAAAATTAGAAAATGGAAGGGGTTGACTCATAGCCCATCCATATACATAAATTGTTGGCGTCAATATATGAAAGGAAATTTATGGGTTCGGTACGCTTAAATTTATTATTTAAATATTTGTTATTTGCTGTTGCAATCCGTTGAGTACATTGGGTCAACCCTCCACGAACAGCAGTTTTAAAAAAATTATAAATGTCAGGATCATTTCCAAGTTCTAATTCTACCCTTGT